TCAGTGTTTGGGCTTCCTGGTGCACAGCTGGCTGGAGACTTGGGGTAGGTTTAGGGTTCGGAGCTATAGCGTTTCCGGAAAGGGAAGAGACAAGGCTATGCGAGAATAGCCTTACGACATCGAACAAGACGTTACTGGGTGTGCAGTGCTCCAACACTTACTGCACAGACCCTCGCACTCCTCCAGAACTCCAATCCATCTTACAATGCAGTAATATCAATGTAATATGTTCTCAGACCTCCTGCTGGTGTTTTCGGCCCTTATACATCAGGCCGCCAATCATTAGGCTTGGGGCCTTTATGTATTCAGGCTGTGGTAATTATCCCGTGTTGCCTTCCGGTCCTGACGGTCTGGGTCCTCCGGCTGGTGGGCTTTGATCGTGGCTTCCGTGATTTTGAGATCCTAGACTTCTAGGCCTTAAGGGCGTCCAGGGTTTCGGGAGTAAAGAGACATGCTATCACCAAGTCTTCGGACTTTCATCGTCCGCCCGTAGACTTAAGGCTTTAGGAGAAGATCTCTTGAAATTTTCATACAGAGCCGAGACCCTCGCAACCACCGAGAAGAGGCGCCCTTTGGGGGTCTCGGGTGCTCGACTCCGGCAGGCTTGTTCAGCTGCGACGACGAATGCCAGAAGGCATACGACAAGGTCCGAGACGTCGCGGGGATTGCTGGTGTACTTGGAGGTTCATGGGTAGTGATAAGTGGGTTTATAAGTCCCTGAACATGGGTTATAATAATGGTTACCCTGCTTCTAAGCCACTTACAACTGCCCACAAACCTCCAAGTACTGGGAATGCGGGAATGGATCGTTATAGTAGGCGCTATATAATCCCCAATAATCGTCTCCCTAAACCATTCCCCCATTCCCTACTAAGAACCAGACAGTGTAAGGTTCAGGTGGCGAAAGCGACAAAGAGCTGCAGCTTTCCGGCTCGACGGACAAGACAGTGCAGCTTCTAGTAGGAAATTGAAAATCGACACAAACCCTGGACTCCAGACACTAATCCCTACACCTCAAACTAAGCCCTAAGCCCTATCGTGGCAACAGCAACATGACTCCACACTCCGAGGAACACGTGCGTCTAAAGCTTTGGCTGAAGCCCGGGAATAGGTTTTTTGAAAGGATTCTCAGCTTGCCGTGTGCACCCTCAACCCCCTCAACCGCAAGCCCCAGCCTCCCATCCCTAGTTCAGATCTCTAGGGGTTCTACTGGTTTTCGGCATGATACCCATAGCACCCTGACTCGGGTTTTGTTGCAGCAAGGACTTCAGAAAGCAACTGAAATCAGCTTTCCCACCTGTCGACGGTGCTGCCGCCTCTCGAGCGCGATGGTGACCCTGGCAACGGCCGTCTTCCCCGACTCTGATCCAGAAGACCCGTGGACGATATGAGTACTTAGAGTTGAGAATGGGGTGTGGGACTCGTAACAACACCCTCAGCCCTTAACCCATACAAATCGAAACCCTAGCCCTGGTAAAACCCGTTTTTCGAACGCACAAGTTCCAATCCTGGAGCCATCAACACCAGCCGTTGTGGAGGTGCATGGTATAGGAAGCATCACGCAGACACAAAAGACTTGCCTACCAAGGAGGACAGTGTTTAGCCGAGATGAGACGAATAGGGTTGCAAGGACAACACCAATGACAGCCGCACGCTTGTCGTCACGACAACTCTGCAGCGTTACCGCACATCTGAGACATACATGGCAGCGAGTACATAATTCAAGTGGGAGAGTGAGTGTGAATACCAAATGAAGACCGTCTTGTGCAAAGAGGAGAGCCACGTGTGAACAATTTCTGCAAAAGTAATTGGCAATCGGAGCGAAGACGAATCAGGTTATAGTCGGCTTCAGTGTAGCATTAGAGACTGATGTAGCGGCGAGGAGGTAACATGGGCCTACTCTCTAACGGCCCGCCGAGAAGCAACTCTAACAGCGCGAAGCGCCATATCTGAAATTGAAGGCGAAGAGCCAGCATGAGACGGAGAAGCACCCCAGCCCAAAAGCCCTCTGCCTTCATTCCTACACCCCAAGCCCAAAACCCTAAGCCCTAAACCAGAAGCCAGAAGCCTGCCTTTGTGTCCAAGTTTTGTCTCGGCTTCGCGGAGGCCCGTAAGGCCCTCTGTTAAGCCTTACTAGTTTTCCATTTTATAGTATTCATTATTTATTGAAACGTTATTGTTATTACTACCAGCATTATTAACATCATTGTTATTTGTTATTGTCATTTTACTCATGTTACTCTTGCTGTATTTTGTATCAGGACCCTATTAACAATGAAAAAATGCAGGCCCCGAAACCCCAGAAACTCATTTTTATAAAACCCATGGTAGTGTTTTTTTTTCGGAGCCAACCCTTAAGCCCCAGAAACCCTAAAACGCCTTCTTTATGGAACCCTTGTAGTCGGGTTTTTTCTGGAGCCGCAGCAGCCAGTTGCAGCTGAGGACAAAGACTATGAGGTCCAGGTGCGGAGGGAAATTACAGGCTTTCTGTCGGGTTTAGGGAGGGTTCCGTTTAAAGGGATCTATAAGGGCTCCTATCAAGGGATCTATATAAGGGTTTGGGGTTATATGGAGTCGGGTTCAGGGCATTAGGGTTGTGGTTTAGGGTCCGGGGCTTATGGTGTCCATGTAGCGGGTGTAACATTGTAGGATCTTGGGTGCCTTTTGGTGCAGGGTTTTGGGCTTGGGGTTTTGAGGTCTTGGTTGGCTGTTAGGCTTGAGGGCTTCTGTGCGTACAGGCCAGGCATTTTAGCACAGCCTGTGCGGCTTCAGGGAGTTAAGGCAGGGCTCAAGGTTGAAACCAAAAAGCCTCTCCGAAATCTTTTCAGCCTTCCACAGCCCCTGCTACCAGCAACCATGCAGTGGTCGAAATCCCAAAACCCTGCCTAAACCCTTCTACCCTAAACCCCCACAGGACAACCCTAAACCCTACTCAACCCCGAGACAATTTATATTGCCCTTCTAGATCCCTTATAGACCCCTTCAAAGGAACCCTATTCGAACCATTAAGGCCGCCATATTCAACCCTAAACTCTATATCTGTATATATATATATATGTATATATATATATATACATATTACCCCTATAGATCCCTTATAGACCCCTTTAAAGGAACCCTATTGGAATCATTAAGTAGGCCCCTATATTCAACCCTAAACTCCCACAGAGGAGGAGCCGGCACCGAAGCGGCTGAGAAAGGAAGCCGCCTCGAGCTCCCAAGCGCGGCGCACGCGCGGGCAACTGGCTGAGAAGACGTGGGAAGAGATGCAGCAGCAGGAGCCCCCCTTAAGGGTTCCATAAGGGGTCTTAGGGTTTAGCTATAAGGGGGTACTATGGGCAGGAGCCCCCTTAAAGCCTAAACTTAGATGGCCAAGGGGGGAACTTTAAACTTTTTGGTCTTATTCATTTGGTCTATCTTAGAAAGTCTAAGCTTTGTTGGGCCCGGTTATTGAAGAAGAGAGTGAAACTATCTGAAACCCCATGAAGGGTTTCAGGGTTTAGGGGTTTGCGAGTTGAGGGTTCATGCATAAACCTTCAACCCGTGGGGAGGGTGGGGATTGAAGGTTGCCGTACTTATGCGGTGTGCGAGTTGCATAACTCCTAATTACATTGTGCCACATTGGATCAGGACATCCAAGGGCCCCAGTTTGAACATCGTGGTTGCGGCTGTAGTCATAGCATGTCATAGCCTCAGGCGTTTATCTCTTTGTGCCTTGAATTGGCCCGTGAAGAGCCCAGCCGTAAGTGCTTGTCCCCAACCCTACGCCTCAAGCGCCCCGGAGCATATGTCCAAGTCTCAGAAAGTGAACCTTGGCCCCAAGCCCTAAACCCGACAACCCTAAACCCAAACCCCGATAAAAATCCCTCAGTTCCCTGGGATACTGGACAAGCAAGCCCTCAACCCCTAAACCCTAAACCTCCAAACACCGAACCCTAAGCCTCTAAACCCTAAACCCTAAGCCTCTAAGCCCTACACCCTAAGCCTCTAAACCCTAAGCCTTCAGAAGGAGGCCGAAGAAGCGAAGAAGTGGGTGCGGCGTCCTTGCTCGGACGTTCTCTTCCGGACGCTTCAGCAGCCTCAACCTGCCAAAGCACCTTTTCTACTATGGCTCGGGCTTTATATCCCTTAGGGTTGTTAAAATCTTGGGAAGTATATCCCTTGAATTAGGGTTTATAGCTTAGGGTCTTCAAAGGCTTGGGAATTAAATCCCTGGAATGAATTAGGGTTTGGGGTTTGTATTGGTTGTGGGTTTAGGTTGATGCCTGAACCCCAAACATAACAGAAAGGGACGCTGTGGGGCCCCCAGCCCAAGGGCGTCCCACCCTCAAACATAAAGAGGGCCATCCATGTCCCATTTACAAGTGATTAGGGACAGCGCTCGCCGTCTTGCTTTAGGGTTGGGCATGTTTCTTGCTTTTGAGATTTTTTTGTAATGCCCCCTATCTGGCTCAATCTCCCGGTATCTGATGCTTGACTCGACACCTATGACTTCGGAGCGAGGGTTCTGGTACGTGCTGCTGTGCACCAGCAAGGTCATGCAGAGACTGAAACCAAAATGGCTAACTGTCTAACTGTGACTTCGCATTTTCAGAATCATTAGCAATGTAGCTTCCGAGTCTTACACAAACAGACTCTTCAGGGCGCAGGTGCTTGGAGCTGACTGCCAGTCCCTGCTTCTTTGACAAAAGCCTCTATCAACCGAGCCCCATGCGCCTTAAAATCCTCAACTCAGATGCCCCGCATCCTAAACCTCCGTGTGCCGCCTAGAGGCAAAGACTGCTCCGGCAAAGAACTGTCTGGCCGTCGTAGCGCAGATCGCCAAGTATGGTCAGGTACGCAGGACCTAAAACCGGTGGAGGTTTCTTGTCATGTAATGTAGGAACCTGATTAAGAAACCTTGGGTCCTTACTACGGTGCTGAATAAGGATCCTAATATATTGGGATTACAGGGCCAGGGTTTCTTAATCAGGTTCCTGAATTAGCTTTGAGATGCAGCAATGTCAGCGTGCCACCGGGCAGGTAAAGGACACCGACGACAGCAGCCTGTCAATTCGTGAGCTCAAGAAGCGCTCACGCGAGGACGAGAGAAATCTCCGAAAGCCTTATGTAGCTTATACATATATATATAGATAGATAGATAGATAGCTACCGCAAGTCCTTGTGTTCGGCAGGACGCTGGACAGACCACCTCGAGTGTGGTCAAACCGCAACCCAGAGTGAGCAAATCCAACATCCTGGCAGAGGTGGTGGCTCGGCCTCAGGGTGGGGCTTAGGCTTCAGGACTTTGGGGCTTTGCAGGTTTACGGTGGAGGGAGCGAGGGGGAAAGGGGAGAGGGGGAGGGAGATTTGCGTAAACGCCCTCGTCCTCCATGTCCAAGCTCACTTGGAGGTTCATGGGTGGTTATAAGTAGCGCAGCCGTAATCATGACCCATATGAGGGGACCTATAACCCCACTGCCAACTACCCCTGAACCCCAAAAGCCTAAACCCTATAGAACCCTGAAGAAAATCCTAAACCCCTATAGCCCCACTTATAACTACCCATGAACCTTCCAAGCTCAGGTCAAGTTTAGCAACCTGTCGACGGGAGACGCGCAGCCCTCCACCGCGGAGATGAAGCGGAAAGTTGCTAGGTGTCCATTGCGATGGGCATGTTCGGTTCAAGACATCTTCAGAGCTAGGAAGGCCTAAAGCCTGAATGATGACCTTCAACGCCTACATAATCTGAATACTGTATCTTGCAGCACCCTACTTACAAACACCCCATCGAGATCTAAACGCCATAAATGAACTCTGAACCCTTAACACACTAAGCAACCGCCCTGGAGCCTCTGTTACTTGACAAGAACTCGCTTTAAGGGTCTATCAGGGTTGCTCTGACTATCACGATGCCTTTTGAAAGGGGTTTATGCGAAACACTGAGAGCCCCGACACCTCCGAAGCCAAAAGACCCCAAAAGGAAGGATGGCCGAAGTAAAACGAAGTGTTTGAGGCCCAGAAGAGCATAGCCTGGCTCATGAACCTTCCTTTTATAGTCCCCTGACACTGATCGCGTAATACGTACCCCAGACCCTACTCTCATCAATAAGGCACTCTTCTTACACCCCTCATAGAATCCCGAAGATCCTGAGCCCTGAACCTGCTGGAACCCTACAAGTTCACTCCAAGGTCCGCTTTTCCAAAGAAGAGCTCACTGCCCAGAGTCCCGAAAGCTCCGGGCTGCCCAAGCTCATGAGGAGCAGGGTTTAGGGTTCAGGGGTTTAGGGTTTAGGCTTTAGGGCTTTTTGGATTTTTGGGTTTAAGGCTTAGGGGTTCAGGGGTTTAGAATTTAGGGTTAGGGGTTCAGGGTTTTTGGGTTCAGAGGGTTTATGGCATTGAACACCGCTTGGTCTTTCGGCGAGGCAGCCTTTTTGCTTGTCGCGATGCGGTTGCCACATTCATTCGTCTGTTTTCAGCGACCCCAACCTGGCCTAAACCGCAGCTCGACGACTCCGCGAATCCCGCAGGACCGTACAGGTTGAAGAATCTGTGAAGTTCGCCGGGGAAACTCTGACGGTGACGCGGCAACTCGTGCCGGGCACGGCAGAGGAGCGGCAGTTCCTCCTTTCGCAAAAGAGGTCGGCTCCGCTTCCGGTTTTATCTTGCGGTTTGGGGCGCTTCGTAGCGCAAGGAGGCAATTCTCTGCACCATGTTCGAACTCACGCGAGGAGCCACTTCTTCTGCCTCGTAGAGTTGTATTCAGACGTAGGCTACGGCTTGGTAATTTCAGGCCACAACAGAACGAATCGCAACTTCATGATGGAGGCTGCTCAGTCCGACGTGTTTTTCTTCTCTGTGGCAGCACGTTAAGACGTGCCGTATAAGGCCTCATGCTTTAAGCAGCCGAAGCCTCGCGACCGCAAGCAACTAGCCCTCAAATCCTTTAGCACTAAACCTAATACACCCGATAAATTTGATGGAAGACCTTAACCGTAATGTACATGGTCTGAATGATTCGTAACGATAACCCCTTGTCCCTTTGTTACATAAACGATTATGCCCCAACACCCGAGTCTTTTGGATGAGGCTCCTTTGTTACGCATGCGCACTTCCCTGCGAGGCGCCAGTCAGCAAAACTGGGTGGGAAGTTTGCCGCCTTGGACAACCTGCTTGGAACCGGCAAGGACAAGGCCGAGGAACTTTAAACCCCAAAGCCTTTAACCCAAAGCCCTTACCTAAAGCCCCTGTACCATGAACTTGAAAGCCCCCAAGAGCGTTAAGCCCGAATTCAAAACGACCTTCCGCCCTTGCGCCCGGCTGCCCTCGGCCCTGAAGCAAAAGAGCAAGCCTGAAAAGCCCTGCTCGGAACCCTAAACTTCTAAACTACCCCTCAAAGGATCCCTTATGCTACCCTCTACAAAAGGAACCCTATAGGATTCCGGGTTTGGTTGGGCTTTCGAAGTTTACGGCTGGAAGCGTTGGGTTTTGTGTTGGAGTTCAGGGTCCGGAGCTTTAGATCAGGGCTTGATCGTGTTAGTTGCAACGTTCTGCCAGGTGTTCTTTGGGATCTGCGCATTCGGGATTTACTGGAACATTCAGCCCTGGCCCTAAAGACCCATATTCAGGACAAACTGCAAAATCATGAACCTCAGCTACTTAACCTCCCTAAACCCTGACCCCTAAACCCTCTCAGCCCTAAACCCTAGGCCCTAAAACAAAGCCGAAGCTCTATAGCCCTACACCCTGAACCCTAAACCCTCAGACCGGTACCTGATACCCTTTGTGGGGCTACCCCCTGAGGTGCTGAATACTGTGGAGAAGTCCGATCTGGTCTCTCGCATTAGTTGGAAGATGCTGCTTCTTCGGGCTTGGCGGTTGTAGGGCTTCGGGTTGGTATAGAAAGTAAGATCTGCTATCCGACGTCCCCCTGCAAAAATCTCTCAACCTCCAATGTAATGAGAACCCTTCGGGGTGCAAGGGGAGGGGGGTTAGGAGGCCTGAGGCCCCCCCGAAGGCTTGAGGTTCCGTTTATGAATATAGCGCGCGAGTTCCACGTCCACTACAACCTTTACAGATCCCTACAAGACTTCGATGAACCGTCAGAACATCCACCAAGCCCAACCACTGAAAAAAACAAGGTCCTTATGAACCTTTAGGCCTTAGGCCTAACCCGAAACCGAAACCCTCAAGCCCTGAAGTCGAATCCCAAACTCTTAACCCTCAGAACCGCTTACACCTTGACCCTAAACCCTAAACCCTATACCCTTGTAGAATCCCTACAGAGCCCTTTAAAGGGACCCTTAAAGCAACCCTTTTCGGAAGCCTTACAGGAGCCCTAAACCCTAAATTTGAGGATTGGCAACGGCACCAACAAGAGGCCGGTCTCCAGGACCTGAGCCGCGACCCACAGGCACCGTTTCTCTTATCGGAGGCCTCAAAAGGTGGGATGAAGGTAGGTGGGATATTCCCAAATAAGAGTCCTTATATAAGGGATCCTTAATCCTACCTACCTTCATCCCACCTTTTGAGGCCTCCGATCTTACCTTTGGTTAGTAGGGAATGGAAGAATGGTAGTTATCGTAGTCATAATTGTACCCCATCCTTCCGTTCCTTACTAACCAAAGGTAAGTTCTTTCAAGGGCTTTACGTCAGGTTCATGGGTAGCTATAAGTGGGGGTAGAAGTGGGGTTTAGGGTTCCTTTGAGGTGTCTATAGGGATTAGGGTTTAGGGTAGCTATAAGTGGGGTTATAAGTCCCTTAAGATGGGTTATAATTCTGGTTATCCTACTTACAGCCCCACGTATAAATATGCATGAACCTCCAAGTAAGAGAGCTCTTATCGGAGCCCTCACGAAAACCCTTCCAGGAAGCCTTAAACGCTTAAAGTAAGGAGCCCTCATGCTAAGCTTTGAGGTGTTATGTAAGACTAAAGGGGTAAGTAAAAGGATTCTGCGAGGGATACTGGGGCGCCCTGGTTGCTAGTAGGAAATCGGGGAAAGAATCGCTGGGCAGAGGGCCATTCATACAATCATATACGGTTATTTTCATATGAACATATATTCATGTATACATATATACACGTTTACTTTGTGTTTATGCACATACATACACGCAAAGAGATGTATTTACACATGGCTAGGCTGTCCGGAGGACAGCCAGAGCAGCAACTATTGCCCCGATGGGAGCTGTGACGCATTGCAGAGCCTCGGAGAGGCGCAAGTCCAGTCCACGATAGTACGACGGTGAGACCGGTAGGCTCTAGGACTCTAGGATCTTGATGCTTGGCTTCTGGTTACTGCTGTTGTCGTTGTTATACCTGTTGGTGTGATTATTGCTGTGCTTGCGCGCAGCCCTGACGGAGGACCCTGGCTGCTTGGCTTCTGATTATTGTGGTTGTTGTTTGCTTGTTGGGCGTTGTTCTTGTTATTCTTGTTTCTGCTGCTGTTGTTGTTGGTGCTGGCGTTGCTCTTGCTCTTCTTGTTGTTGGTGGTGGTGTTGGTTTTGGTCTTGTTGGTGTTGCTGGTGTTGGTGCTGGTGCTGGCGCTGGTGTTGTGTACATTGCAGATGGCAATGTCCTGACCAACAAGAATAGCTTGAGCTTCCGTTTCTGAGTTTGTTCCTTTTGTTCGAAGGCTTTGGAGTGCACCGTTGACCTGGGCAACCTCCATTACGCACAGAAAAGGCTAAGTTCTTCTTTCAAGGCCCAGAGACCGTCTGCTGATGCGAATCTTGAGGCCACGGGTATGGATAGCACGTCAACAACCCCCCCAAGTCGGGACGGCATGCCCCCTGGCCAGGACAGAGAGACCTTGGAGGTGGGAGAGATGGCGGGACGTGTTCGAGGTCACATGTGTGCGGAGGCCAATCAAGCTGCCAATCAAGCTTGAATATATGCAATGGCAACTTGGCTCAAAGTTATGGTCGCCCCCATGCCCTTAGAAGCCATTCCCCCATTCGCTACTAGCAACCAGGAACTACTATATGGAGTTATCGGGCTTGGGGCTCATGGTTCAATCTCTTTTGTTTAGGACTGTGGGGGCCTTTGGGCGCTTCCCTTCTAAGCCCGAAACCGGTAAACCCCTAAGCCCTAAGCCCCGACCCAACAGGGAATCCATCATGAATCTTTGGGTTTTTTTTGTCGCAGGCTGGCTACATCGAGCGCTCGGAGCTGCTCGGAGCTTTTCAAGAAGATGTATTTGAAATTACAAAGGGCACAAAAAGTTTGTTAAGTCTTCGGGTGCAGAACTTGCAGGTTGATTCTAGACATCCGGGACTTGCTTCTGCAAATAGCTGCAAATTTCTAGATGATTTTGGGGTCTGGAGACTGGGGATTTCAGGCTAAAGGAAAGTCTGTCCCCGGAATCAGCCTTTCAGTCCTTCAGCAAAGACTTGTTTGGTCGAAGAGCAACGTCGTTGTACTTTGGACTTTTGGATTCTGAGGGTTTAGGGTTCAGGGTCTCGGGCTGAAAGCTTGGAAGATGATTGAATGAAAAACTCAGGATTGGGTTCACAGGTTCAGGGCTTTGGACTGGGCCTTACTTCTCTGAAGGCCCCAAAGAAGCTTAAATCCTGTAAACCCTAAGCAACTAAACCCCGTATCCCTAAAGTCCTATGAATCCTGGAGGTCCCGGACCCTAAACCATGAGGATTGAAAGGTGGAACATGGGTTCGAATGCATGCCTCGGAGCGATGAGGCACCGAAGGCCACTGCACCCCGAGTGACACCCGTGCGAACACTGGTCAAAAACATGATCATGATATTTACTGGTCACGATTGTTCACGACACCTGTCGGTGTTGATAGTACCTGCAAAGTAGCCACGACCAGTCTGGATCGTGCTGACACTCTTTTTGGCATTATATAAGGGTTAAAATACCCCAAAACTTCGAAACCATAGACAATAAAGCCCTAAAGCCTCAACCGTGGGTTCCGAAGAAGCCAGGTTTCTGCGGCGAGCGAACCTCCGTGCATCGGAGGCCATCCGCGATGCCGCGCGAGCGGCGGCGCGGAAGGTGTCCTCAAAGTCCTGAGTGGCCCGTATCTGCACCGACGGATCGAAAACAGTCGTTTGCGAGGGCTTGGGGTTTGGGGTTTAGGTTTAGGGTTTAGAGTTAAAGGTTTGCGGATAGGTGTGATTCGTTGCCGGGCGTCATGCAAGGTCTAGCAAATGTTTGCGAGTCCCCGATAGGCATCCTTCTTGCGACATTTGGATAGGGTCGGAGGTGGGCGCATGCGTTTGCTACGAACAGAGTGCTCGACCTGAAACCACGTGGCACGAAGGTAGTCACGTCCATCGACAACCCCCAATTCCCCCAATCGCCTTTAAAGCAGAATCCGAATCCGTGAAAGCCGCAATACAAAGGCCGCATGCATGTCCAACTAAGTAAAAAATGTTTAAGTATTGCAGTTTCCGACGCCTTAGAACACACCAGCAACCACCCATTTCTTCCCATTTTCTTTTGGCCTGCAGGTCCAAATGGCTCAGGCGGAAGTCGCCAGAGCACTTGGGCAAGACATTGTCTCAGTTGTAAAGTAGGAAACCTTCAACCTGCTTCGGTTACCATTTACCATAATAATCCTGATCTAATCCCCAAGGTGAAACGGTAGTTCCTTAGGATACTGGGCAAGGAAGTTTTTAGGAGTGAGGTTTGGGTTTGAGGAATTCGAGGGTTTGGGTCGACGGCTGCCGGGGTTGCGGGTGGAGGTTTTTGCAGGGCATTTCTAGTCGGAATGGGACTTAGGACGGGATGTTATAGCAATATTATACAGTAAGTTAACGTGATACTCGATTGTCTAGGGTTTCTCGACTCACCGTGTGGGGGCTATGTTTTGGGGAGTTGGAGGTTTTGTGGCTTGTGGCCGATCGCACAGGGCCGATGCCAAAGGGGATCCGGTGTGTCTCTGTAGTGCATTTCAGCTTGCTTGTGTCATCCATCAATTTCGTCATCAGCAGCAGCAGCGCTGTCAACAAAGAACTGCCGCAATCACAGAAGAGGCAACCGTAAGATAGAAAGGGCTGGTAGCAGCAGCAGGACGAGTTTCAGCAGTAATTGGAGCGAAGAGGTAGAGAACCCGCAATAAGTTTCAATGTTCAGCCTTGCTGGGAACATTGGAAGGGTGCTGTCTGCATCCCTTGGCAATACTGATAAGCTCGTGACCCGAGTACACACCAACAAGAATGTCCATATCACAATGAGAGCGCTTGCGGTGCCAGCTGTGGTAAACCAACACCTGTGTCACATCGGACATGTAGTCGGAAACCTATGCGTCGGTATGGCACTTGGTTCCTGCCCGGTGCTCGCAGGCTCCGTGAATGTCCAAAGCTGCCCAAAGAAGCAACCTGATGTTTCCACCGAACAGTTGCAAATGTCGTACTCTCAACTAGCACATCTCCACGTGAGACACCCTACAGGTGCAGAAGCACCGGGACCGCGTCCTGTCAGAAGGGCGGCAGGAAGTTGGCATTTGGTCCTCCTTCGGCGTGCAGGTTTGCGCAGGGGCGGGGGGGGGGGGATGATTAGGCTCTGTATCAGGGTCATGACAGGTTTTTTCTTCTCACGATGTTTGCAGGGACGTTCGACGTGGCACCCAAACCCAAAGCCTGAAGTCGCTTTTGGATTTGAGGGGTGGGTTCAGAGTCTTTGCCGCCACCGCGGGATGCAGGATGTGCGCAGAAGTTTCTGGAACGCTTGGCAATCTGGCAGCTCAGTTGCAACAGCTTGTCGCTGAGAGTTTGGAATGATGCTTCTGCAATGGTCACCTTAAACCCTTAATTAAAGCCTTAAACACTAAATTCTTAAACCCTGAACGCTTAACCGGCCTAAACCCTTAAGCCCTTAGATCCAAACCCTGAGACCCCTAAACTTCAAACACCTAGACCGCGAGATCTTATGAAGTAGGTTTCATCTCTATGTTAGAATGCTCAGGGTGTGTGTGTGTGTGTGTGTGTGTGTGTGTGTGTGTGTGTGTGTGTGTGTGTGTGTGTGTGTGTGTGTGTGTGTGTGTGTGTGTGTGTGTGTCTGTGTGTGTCTGTGTGTGTGTCTGTGTGTGTGTCTGTCTGTGTGTGTGTCTGTGTGTGTGTGTGTCTGTGTGTGTGTGTGTGTGTCTGTGTGTGTGTGTGTGTCTGTGTGTGTGTGTGTGTGTCTGTGTGTGTGTGTGTGTGTGTGTGTCTGTGTCTGTGTGTGTGTGTGTGTGTGTCTGTGTGTGTGTCTGTCTGTGTGTGTGTGTGTGTGTCTGTGTGTGTGTGTGTGTGTGTGTGTGTGTGTGTGTGTGTGTGTGTGTGTGTGTGTGTGTGTCTGTGTGTGTGTGTGTGTGTGTGTGTGTGTGTGTGTGTGTGTGTGTGTGTGTGGTGTGTGTGTGTGTGTGTGTGTGGTGGTGTGTGTGTGTGTGTGTGTGTGTGTGTGTGTGTGTGTGTGTGTGTGTGTGTGTGTGTGTGTGTGTGTGTGTGTGTGTGTGTGTGTGTGTGTGTGTGTGTGTGTGTGTGTGTGTGTGTGTGTGTGTGTGTGTGTGTGTGTGTGTGTGTGTGTGTCTGTGTGTGTGTGTGTGTCTGTGTGTGTGTGTGCGTGTGTGCAATTCGCCACCTATTGTTATTGTTATTATTGCTGCTATTGCCATCGGTAATGTTATTAGTTACCGGTATTGGTTTTGTTATTGTTATGGTTGTTATTTGCATTAGTACTATTGTTACTGTTTGGTTCTTGAATACAGTTGAGTTTCTGATTGTTATGTTTAGTGTTTTGATATTGTATCAGTCTTAGGTTTTTGTCATTGCATGGTTTTATGTCGTGATTATCAGTGAGGAGTGCCTGTAGATAAGATTTAGCAAAAGCCCGAAACTTCGCGCGAGTCTCGGCTTTAACCCGGCTTTGCATGGGGAGTTCGCCCTAGACCGTCCAACCGCGCAACCCTAAAAGCGCTAAACCCCCTAGATCCCTGAAGCCCTAAACTGGGCCCCAAACCCTTAAAACCCAGAGAACCTACACCCTAAACACCCAACCCTTAATCCTAAAATCCAAATGAACCCGAACTGTCTGCATCTCTCCAGGCAAGGACTTCGCCGCACAATGCACTTTTTACAACGTGCCTTGGCTCATCTCCAGGTACGACACTGCAACAGTAGGGTAGGGTATTTGTTTGTAGTGCCATGTACACGGTTGTAACAGTAGTAAAGTTCTATATATACTGTTGGTGCACCCCGAGTTCGCAGGGTTGGCTCTGGTTCGGGAAGTTAAGATCCCATGGTTCAGGACTTAGGTGGCTGCAGTTTGGAGCGTAGGGCCTGGGTGGTCGCTTGGGGAATCACTTCTCCGAGCTTTCGAGTTTGCCTAAGCAGCCCTAAACTTTGATCTTGGCGGCAGCCCCGTGGCTTCACGGCTTCAGCCCCACCATGGCAACCCCCAAACCCGAAACCAGAAAACGCTTTGAACCCAAAAGCCTCAAAACTCCAAATCCCAGACTCTTTAGCCCTGAAAATACTTGTCATGCAACTCCTAGTCACACCTGCCTCTAAGTGGAAAGCTAGTCTTGGACGTAGGATAGCTCTCGAAGTATATTGGACTAGCTCACAAGTCGATATCTTCTAATGTTTAAATTTAAGTGTGTTAAGGCCATCATAAGCCTTTTGGAGCCAGTCTTCTATGCAGCGGGGCTCTTGGTGCTAATATAGAGGCCTAACTCCGTATTGTGTTTATAGTCGAATAACCCCCCCCCCAAAAAAAAAAAAAATAGTTTAATTATTTAGGCCCCTATACACAACTATGGTAGCCCCTATAGTAATCCTTATAGATCCAATTGAAAAAGGAACCAAATTCTAATTACTAAGGGATTTATACCATGCCTTAGAAGCCATAGCAAGGTCCTCTTCGCCGTGGGCGGCCGGGACGAGTCGCTGTACATCATGATTTTCCGCCTGATCATGCAGTATGCCAGGGGCCCGGGATTTAGGGTTTTGGGGTTTAGGATTTAAGGGTTTAGGGTTTAGCGAATTGAACCCTTGATCCCTAAGCCCTTAAAGGGGGCCTTAAAGATAGGGTTCTATACCTGGGTGCTGGGTGGACTGCGGGAGTTGCGGATCGCTTTGCAGGGATCCGCAGCAGTACGAACAGCATGAGGCATACGGTTAGAGTGTTCCTGCCTTTCCAGAGGAGGTGAAGTTTCATGTTCTTTGGGGCAAGGTGGAGGGCCACAGTTAGGATATCGGCTTGAACAAACCCTAAACCCGAAACCCTAACCCTCAAACCCTAAACCCTAAACACTAAACCCCAAACACTAACCCACAAACTCTCAAACCCTAATTACACGTACCAGTGCAAGCCATGACGGATCTCCGCCTCCTCTGCCTTGGGGGGATAAGGATATGACGGCCTGAAGGTTCGAGATACTTGACCAGGAGTCCTAAGAATAGTAGTAACAAGATCAGCAAAAACAACAATGCTAATGGTTATAATTGGTAGTTGTAATAACCGCAACTGTAAGAGTACTAATCAGAAGAAGAGGAAGAACAGCAGGAACGTACGAGTGGCAGGTCGAAGCAGCATGTTGCTCGAGCAGCAAACACTGAAGCCCCCGGACCAAATCCTGAAGAAGTTCCCTCAGGATCAACCTTTCACTTTTAAATTCTGAGCCCTAGGTTTTAAACCCTGAACTTCAGAGATCACTAAACCCCAAATCCGTCAGATGTAACATGATGTACACACCAAGCAACCCCCCGCAGCCTGGCCCAAGCCCAGGTGGTTAATTTGACTCTTGGCCTCATCGGGGCTTTCTGCACGCCGGCAGCACGTAGAGTCCGAATTTTGGGGCGATTCAATGCTATAATGTTGGTTACAAGAAATATACAAAATTATGAAGACAGGCAATTCTCTAGGGTTGGAGGTCAGTGAGGTCAGAGCATTGCATTGACAGGTGTGAGGCAGGCTGACACTTGAAGCTGTACTTTTCTGCAGATATTCTGCTCAGACTCTAAATACTACGTTCCTAAAGCAGCAGGTTCAGTCCCTTACGTCTCCCTACACTTTCCCAGCGCAGCATG